CTGATATATACCGCGATCAGAAATAAATTTCTCTGGAGATTAAAAAGCTGAAGTTTCAGTACTCATGAGCTGCTCAAAAGCGTTGAATTAATCTGATAGAGACAAATATTCCCTTTCCAGGCGGCAGTTCAGAAGTGGAAGACCCGATCGCTGGAACAAGAATTTTATTTGCCTGACGCTTTTGATTCTGTTGAGAACCCTTTATTGTCAGTAACCGTAGGGTAGTATGAGATGTGCAAAGATTGCGCGGTATTTCTAGTTTATAGTGGCCACCCGTGTGGGTAGCCGATTGACCCGTAAATGGGCCGCCTGGTAGATGCACTGGACTAACAGGCGAGCCAGATCAGGGCACGCAGGCACTACTCGGGCTGCGCGCTGATAACAACTATCGAACATGGGGGATGGTGTGGTGTGGTGATCTACCGTATCCCGTTCTGCCCTCGGGACGGCATTCAAGCGCACGACATCTTTCTAACACTTTTTTAACACCCGACTGCAAAAAGGTGTTCTCATCTTGCGTAAAACTGTCGAAATGAACGAATGAGACTAGGGTTTTGTCTGTTTCTGGCTTAGTAGGCATCGTAAGGTAGACTTATCGAATCCCATGTTTGGATAAACTGAGATTTTAACCCCGGAGCTTCGAGGGTTTTCAAGTTCAGGGCTTTATCAGTTAGCCAAGCACCTGTTATCCCGTCGGTTTTGCCCAGGAATGTTCACTGCCGACAGGAGGGTCCTTCACCGAACAGTGCACGTGACAGGCCGCTGATGTACTGTTGAGTGCAGACAGTCCGTATGAAGAGGAACCTAGCTTTGAGTTATCCTGTCATTTGGCAGCGTTGCAACCCAGGACTTTTAGCACACCATGATAACCTAAGGCTCTGTTTGCACATATGACAGAGGAACCAAATAGAGAAAAACCCGAAGAATACACTCCTCACCTGTGATGTTGGGCGTGGTCATACGTGACGTGGATGCCGGTGTGGAGAGCTGTGGTGATGTGGTATGGCCGACGGTGTTTTACCGCGAGTTTTTAAGAAAGCCATATGTGGCCTGAAAGGCCCGTCCGAGGGGTTAATATGCGTGGGCGGTGTGAGCAAATGAGAGGGATGCATGTCGATGCTCCTGGCACTGCTTCGCCAGTATCTGTGTGGTGGAATTGCAAATGACGGATCAAGCTGATGCATGTACCGTAGCAAGAAGGATAGGGTACTTTAAGAGCTATAGGATCGGTTGCTGCGGTGAGGCTACTAATAAGGGTCCCTCATTGAACAGGGCACCTGACAGGCCGTCAATTTACTGTTCAGTACAGAATGTCCGTAAGAGGATGAACCTAGCTAAGGGTAACGTCGTTGCTGCCGCTCTGCAATAATCTGTGTGCAAGGATCTACGTTTAAGTCGTGGTCAGTAAATAAAAAAAGAACTAAATTGCCACACCTCAGACACGTAGCCGACCGTCATTCTCCTTGGATCTGCTATCTGTTTCGGTTACAAGCGAAAATACAAGTCCCAGGGAGTAATTGAGTTGAAGCAGATGTGATCGCTGGAACAACCACAACCGGTGCTGAAGTCCAGTTTGGCCAAAACAATTCGCCACTCGGGGAGCACACAGATGAACACGTCTTCTAGCGCCAGGGAGCCAGATGGCCGAGCCATCACACACCCGATCCCAACGCGGGGGGTTAA